CCAAGATTATTTTCCTTATAAAAGCTTGAGTATATCAAAATTTATTTTTTTTTTGTTTATGTTTTTAAATCCTTACAATTCAGTGTTGGATAGAGAGTGGCAGTATGCCTCAGGCTGGAAGAGAATAACTGAAAGTGCAAGTGACCCCACAGAGTTACAATCATGTAAGTGAGTAGTTAACCCAAAATAGTCTGTAAGTGCAAATTATTTTATAAAGGACAGGAGTGCAGTGTGTATGTGGGTATAGCAACTTGGACCTATGCGCTGTAGTATGGAGAAATATTCACTGCAGGGAATTATTATATTTGGTTCACTGGAACAAACTTCTGTTTACTGAAAATTTAAAGACTGCTAATACAACACATCCAAAGACTTTTTCACATGTGGCTTCAAGTATAGTTAGTATGCTAATGTAGTAAGTCCTAAATTAAGAAAAAAATCTAGATTTTCTCATGTATAGAGGATGTAAAGCAGCAGATACTTCGTTAGAAAAAGAGGGCTGGCAAAAGGATGCATTGGAATGTGAAGAATTTGCTCATTTTCCATGTTACCTAACTTCTTGAGTTGTGGGTATTTTTTCTTCTTTGCTAAGACACATTTGTGCCTTTTAAAACAGTTTCAGTAAGTAGAGTCATAGTGAGCTCCCAAATCATATCAGAAACAAGAATTCTTAGGGAAAGTATTACTGAAGATGACTTCAAAAGCCTGTAAGTGCTGTGGTTACTGAGTTTTTCAGCCATTGCCTGTTGGGCTTTCCATGGAGAATGCCCAGCTCCCCAGTATTTCTGGAAATGTTGGAGAGCAGTGTTTGTGGTGAGCTCCTGGCTCTCCATTGGACAGAAGTGTCAGACTCCTCCAGGAAGGGGTACAGCCAAGCTTGGATACATACCCAGCCACAAGGGCTGTGCCCATTCCAAGTGTTACTGGTTTAGTAAAGAGCTTGTGACAAGTAGGATGTTCTGATTACTGCAGGAGTCCTTCTGCTGCCGTGCTTTGAACCTGGTCATGTTAGTTTTCCTGAATAATGTTGGTAAAAAGGTAAAATACACTCTGGTACTATGCTGCTGTGTTTTGTTCTGGCTTAGACCAGTGTTATTACAAGCTGCTCCAAGGAGCATCCAGGGTTTTGTCTTGCATAGTAAGTCTGTTTAAAATTAACATTTTCATTACTATTGTATTGCCTCAAAGGATACTGGTGCTTTTACTATTAGCACCCTAGAGGAAGTGCCTTAAAACTTTCTTCCTTTTGTAAAGACGCACTGAAGTATTGTTGCTCTGAAACGTGCTGCTTTTAGTCCTTAATAGAAAATATGTTGTTACTGGTTTCAAACAGTGGTACTTTGTCATATTGATGTACTCTTGCTATATATAATATAGCATTTTACAAATAAATTTAACTTAGGTAACTTTTTATTGAAATTATTTTTAAAGGTAGAAAGGTAACATTTTATGGTTAGTTTTGCTTTCATCTTGTGCACATCTCTGTCCATAATTCCTCTGTGCCAGCACCTGAGGAGTGAATAGATCGTGTGGAATAGCTGCAGGCTCTGAGGAATCAGTGATTCTTTACAAGTACACGTTCACTGCGTTTGTGCACGGGGCCACCACTCACATGGCTGCCACTTCTGTCCCCTGGGTAGAAGCGCTGCATGACATGGTTGGTGTGACTGGTGACTGTACCACCACAGCTGCACTGCAGTAAATTGACAGCTCTCACCTAAGAGATTCCTTCAGTCAATCCACCTGCATAATTGCAGGGAATGTTACTCCATAGCCCATCTCTGGCAAAATGGCAAGTGGAAAAACAGCCCACCAGACACAAACACCCCCTCCAGCACTTCACCAGTCCTGATGAGACACAAAAGGAACAGGAACACAAAATTGTGTCTACCCTACCTGCATAAATACTGCAGTCAGCTGAATCTGGGCCAGGAATTGGGCAATTAGAATAATTATCAGTTACAGACTGATATTGTTCCATGCTTCTATTTAGATTAGCTATGTCATGAAAGGGTTGCCATAACAAGATCAAAGTTTCAGTCTTGAGACAGTGATGTGACTATTTAGTTCTGAGAGTGAAACAGCTTGAGTAATAATCTGCGTTGGTGAAGGTAAATAGAACTAGGGAAGTCAAGGAAAAACAGCACAGGTTTCATATAGACAAGTAGGTACGAGTGTGCCTCACCATTTTAGGATTTATATCTGGAAAAATAAAAGCTCCAAAATACACAAAAGGAAAATGCCGTAGACTGTTCCTCTTATCCTAAGAGTGAGGGGTGTTCTGCAAAAGTCACAACTACATTTTTAACATGGTTTTCAGGTAGAAATGCCTAAGGGACATTAGTATGTCTTGTCTGCTTATTAACAGGCAGCATATGAAGGAATCAAAGGCTTTTCTAAAACAAGACTTATAAGTTAGGCATCCTGTATGAGCTTTTAAAGAAGAAACACTTGCTACATACCAATTCATGTTCAAAGATTGACTGCAGGCAGAATAATGATTAGAGATATTTATTGTTTACTAATTACATTGATCACTGTTTTTCCACGTGCATGTCCTCCTTCCAATTTCAGAAAGGCCTTTGGAACTTCAGAAAATGAGAAGACTTCATCAATAACTGGTTGAATCTACAGAATAAAGAAAAATTTCACTATATTAGGAATAAAGTAATGTATCACCCTCACACCTCAAACTGTATGAAGAAAAGGGGGAGGTTTCTTCAAGGTATTTAGGATGGAACTTGCCATGTAGCCACATTTTAAGATTTTTTTAGGGATACCTCTGCATCCAGAAGAAGGCTTTCTGCTGCTCTTTGCCCAAATTTTGAAACACCTTTACTAACACAGTTTAGAGCCCTTACCTGTGGCTTCTACCACTAACCATGGTGGTATCTGGTGATATATTCTATCACCATGTAGGGCTGTAACTTCTATATCCTTTCAAAAACTGACACTGTGATTTAACTTTTTATTGTCCACAATGATATACTGACAGAACATTTTTTTGCCTCATATTTCTCTACTGGTTTTCTTGTTAAACTCAAGAATTGTCAGAACATCAGATATTTTAAAGATACCTATAACCCTGATGCCCATCAGCACACAGCTCAGTACCTGTAGAAGACCACAAATGAAGTAGAAAAATAGTCCACCAATGTTTGTTGCTGAATCATTTAACTACACTTGAAAACTCAGACACTGTGTATTCCAGGAGCCATAAATCATTATTAAGCCTAGCTTGCATCAACTGTTATTTTGACATTAATTTTGTAGAGTGGCCTTCTGGATTGTTTTAGACTAATTTCTAACAACAACAGTGAAACTACTTAATCACTCTTCCCATTATTAAGTAAGGAGCCTGAAACCCCTATAAGCATTTTCTTTAGATGTCATAGTGTACCAACAGAAGCAGAATTTTCAGCTCTTCTGAAAAATATTTATCACTGCTGATCCAAGGGAAGAGGTTATTTTTTACTGTCAAGTACTGAGTAAGCATTCCCAACACCAAAATAAGATTTGTCTATAGATGTACCTCCCACACCTCCTACCTAAGATCTGCCCCCCCTGAGGTTGGTCCTTTACCTTGGATCCCATAACACCAGACCAGTGCATGTCCTTGCACTGATACTAATCCTCTTACCAGAGGAAGACATGACCAGTAGGTGAGTCTGCAGCTAATGCTTGCAATGATGACAATTTGAAGTACCCAAGATCCAAACACTATTTACAGTGCTAGAAAAAGATAATTTTCACTTGTGTCAGGGAAAAATTATCTTCTGCACTTTCCTTATAGTTTTAGCATGTACCCTTCTCCTGTTGAATAAGCCAGAACTGGTAGTTTCTCTCTGCTGGCAGGATGTGTATCATGCCAGACAGAAAAGGAATACAGCAGCAATAAAGACACAATGTGCCGGCTTTGAAATGGTACTGTCTTTCAAAAGCTGCCTTGCTTTGACTGCAAGACAAAGGGTTTTTACTTTCAGATGTGCTGCTTAGAAGGTGAGTGTGCAGCACTACCACAGAAAGGTTTTCATACACACACACTTTCCTAGCAGCAGTGCTGACCACCCAGCACCTTCCCCAACAGCATAACAAATGCCCTCTGATAGTTGTCCATGATCAGGGAGATCCTTTTCTTAGATCTCCTAATTTTCTCTTCATCTATACACTGTGCCTTACATTGACATCCACTCCTTGCATTTAAATAACTACTGACTTTGCTTGTATGATAACAGTAATCCAATACATCAGTACTCTAATTTGCACCACAGTATTGCCCAATATCACTAGATACTCCTTTTTATTTTGTCAATGCAAGCTTAGCCATAGTGTGAAACTTTACATGGCAGAAAATTGGGAATGAATGCACCCCTTCCAAAGAATGCATCAGAATTTTCAGACAAATCACTTTGAGAGCCACTGTGCAAATAAATATAGTCACCAAGTGCCTCAAAATTTCCATGCAGCAAGGTACAAGGCTTAGTAATTATTTCCCTTGTTCTGCCTAGACAATGTCTGTAAACTAACCCCTAGCAAAGTGAGTAGCATCACACAGCAGAGGAGCCACAAAGATACCCCAACTGTGGAAGAAATGCTGGGTATAAATGACCATGTTCAAGACAAACTCATGTCTGGTCAGCATTCAGTACAGAATGGAAATGTTGTCTTGGACATCAGCAAAGTCAGGGACGTGGACTCAAGGCAGCAAAACCACTGAATTCACAATGGTTTGGGGTAAACTAAGCATCTGAGTGCAGCTGCAGCTGTTGTGACCCTCAGCAGGAGGAACGTGCTGCTGATCAGTACTGACTGTTTTGAGGAAGACCAAGCCTTGCTTTCATAGCAGATGCTTGGGAAAACACAGTTCAGGAACCTTGCTGAGCCAAGCACTTGTACAGTACTTATTGTTAGTGGCAGTTGTGTACAAAGCTGTGGTGCTTCAACTGAGAGGGAAAAAAGAGATGCAGAAACCCAGCCTGCTGATGCATGGACACAGATGACCCTGACAAAGTAATAGGCTAGGAGGAGAGGAAAAGTATTCAGGGAAGAAAGCAGAGCACCAGCACAGGGGATGCGAAGTGCAAGGGATTCCAGGGAAAAGCAGAAGTTAATTTCAGACACGTGCAGCAACTGAGAAAACATGAACAAGACACTTCGCTGTCCTGCTAACCCACAGTCCCTTACTGTAGGTTGCACCTTACAACCCTGACAGAGGTATGTTACATCCTCAGCCTATTGGGTAGAGTTCAAAGCAGTGCATTTGAAAAGTGGTGACACAGTGATTCAGAGGAGCCCTGAATTCATCCTCACAGTTCAAAGCACCGTGTGTATTGCAGCCACCACATGCTCAAAGCCCATCTGCTACATTGATGTAACCTCTAGCTTCATTTAAACGCTGGCTTTAGGCAGTGCTATAGAGAGATGTGAATACCGAATTGATGATCTTGGCAATTTAGAGCATTAAACATTTTATCTGGCTGGCTGGACAGTCCCATTGTTTGAATAACCCTGAAAGGGCTGACCGTGTTGCAGCACAGTGATTCACTCAGCCTTTACCATAATCCACTGACTAAGATAAAATTTCTTCCTGTGAACAGACAAACAAGTAGGGGAGAGTCTGCTGTTTGTTGAATGTGTGATAATAAATGGAGATTAACTGGATAATAAAAACACTGCCTATTTACAGCCACGCATCAGTTCCTTGCCAGAGGACACCTATTTGTTCAGGGAAAAGGGATTAAACTAAAGTCTGGGAGAGAAAGGATTACACATACCCACATTGAAATGTTTATCTGAAAACAGATTGGGCCTGAAAGGTATTTTCTTCCTCTTCATTCTCTCCAATGCAGGACATACTATAGAAATGAATCTCGGGTCTCTTGGAATGAATTCATGTGCTTGGAAAAATAAAAAGAGTAGTTGCTGATGCTGATTAAGGCTGTCCTGCACAGAACACAGAGGTGCTATCCCAGCCACTCCAGCTCTGAATGTAGCAGGCAGTGAACAGCACTAGTCAGCAGGAACACACTCCTGCTCATGGCAAATTCAGGCCCACCCTTAGAGGTCCCACTTTCTGCGGTATCAAGGGCACAGTTTGAATTTATCAGGAGAGAACAAGTGAGAAAACACAAAAGGAATGGAGACGGCTTTGACCCTCATGGTAACAAGAAGTCACTCCAGTAGATGCGCAGCTTTTTCCTGCCACTGGAGGGAGAGCGAGAGCCTTGAAATTCTCAGGAGAGCGAGGAACTGAGCGCAAGCCTAGTTCAGAGCGCAGGACAAAAGTGCCCTCACTCAAAGGACAGTGACAGTGCACTGGCTCTCTTCCAGGTCTGCAAAGGATGGCCGTGTCAGAGCTGCCGGGCAGCCTTGCTTGTGAGAGTGCCTCCCTCCCAGCTGCTGCCTCCCACTGCACATCCCCTTCCTACACCTTGGTGAGGCTGCTCAGGGCTCCCGTACACCACCCTTAGAAAAGGTACTTGCACACAGAACAAAAGCTCCAGTAGACATAAAAATCCTCCTGAGGGCTTGCTGTAATGGAAAAGATCTGGCTGCTGTTTTGACTAGCTGAGTTAAAAGATAAAGGCTGTCTTCCTCCAGAAATTACCACTGGGCCTAAATGTAATCCATGAGCACAAATGCAGTGCTTGATCCTTTGGCCTTTAGTGAATCTCTCACCAATGTCAACAACAGTAATGAAGAAAAATCATTAAAAAGAACAGTCCTTGTCCTGGAACTAAAATTGGTTATCCATTTATTACTTTATTGTCATCCCATGGGGAAAAAAGATGCTGTTTTGGGACACTCCTACTTTAGCTGAGCATCTTCTCTGCTGTACTCATGTTCCATGCTCTTTGCATCTTAATCTCACTTCTTTCTTCTCCTTAAAATGGCATGCAACAAAGTATGCCAATCCTCATATTGCTTGCCAACAGCAAGTTCTAGAGTCAGCCCTCACTGAAGACAAAGGCTGAAGTTCTTACCTTCTACAGCAGCTGGCTCTGGTCACATCTTGCACAGGTAGCTTTGCAACTGCACAGTACCAGCGTAGAATTGTAGGATGGTTTGGGGTGGAAAGGACTTTTAAAGGCCATTCAGTCCAACTGCCCCTGTCATAGGCAGGGACACATTCCACTAGACCAGATTGCTCAGAGCCTCATCTTTGAATATATTTTATAAAACTTTCCTTGCTGTGTTTTTTATTAACTTTTATTTCAGAGAATATGCACTATCATCCATGAGCACATTAAAGGACATCAGGTACATTATATTTCTGTCCCAAATACATAACAGAAGTAAAACTGATCTAACAATACACCCATAACAAAAACTGTTGCAGTGATTAAGGCATGGGAATGGAAGGCAAGTGTCCCAGGGTCTAATCCCACAGCCACCTTACCAACAACTGTATTATCAGGTCTTACTTGTTTGGTTATTAAGACAAAGGACATTTTTCATAGCAAATCTCTAAAAGCAGCCCACAGGAACTCATGAACATCATGTACAATTATTAAAATGCTAGCATACAAATCCCCAGCTAAGCAGGCTATCAGGGTACAGCTCAGAGTGTAGAAAAGGCTTCAAAATCTCATTTGTTAATTAGCCCTGGCAGAACAGCTTCTACAGAACACAATGAAGAGCAGTAAGAAACTGGAACAAGCCCAGAACTGCACTGTGTGCTAGCCTAGCCCAATCTTAAATCAATAAAAATAAGGAAGATCCTGGGTTTAGCTACGTACTGGACCATGCTGAAAAACTGTTATCTAAAGGAAAGCACAATCTCCTCTGGAATCCCTGGTAAGGCACATTCTTGGTAGTTGTTCTGATATTTATGCTGGTAATTAAAGCAATCTGGGTAAACATCACCATTTACTTAAGACAACCAACTTCCATACAGTTAAACAGAAATACATATTTACATGTGAAATCATATCACATACAGAGATTAGAAGATTAGTCCTTCGTAATCCACATCTTCCCAGTCTCAGTAAACTAAACTCACAGCAGACAAGGGCTGCCTTGTCTGCACGTTACCCCTGCACTAGTCACAATTCCCTCCTACACCAGGAGGCCAGAGCTCGGAACACCAGGACTAACTTTCCACACAATTTACAATTAGATCAGGTTAAGGGAACACATCTAATTAAATGCCTGGAAGATGGTGATGAATTTTTTCCAGATCTCATTGTGGTGTAAGTGAATCTACATACTGAAATCCTATTTTCCCACAGAATGCAAAATTTCCATTAGTTGCCCTTCACAGACACTTTGTGATGTAACCACACAGCACTTACATAAGGAGCATAAGCAAGCCACCATGTCCTGGAGGAACAGGAACAGGTATGATTTAATAAAAATCACAGTGGCTTTTTTTTTTGGTGGCTGTGACAAAATGCAGATAGAGCTTCTTTTTGGAAGAGAAAGGGCTGAAAAGAGCTTTTGGCAACCCCTCCGTGGTCAACATCTCTGTGCTCTAGCCAACCAACCTGCCAAGCAAATGCACTGCAACAGGAAAACACAAAATTAAATGCAAAAAAATAAAAAAGGTGCAACTTTCGCAATTTAGTATGAAGAAAGACAGTCATCAGAACAAGTGTGAGTGACTAAAGAGTAGGGAGAAGGACTAATCTCTAGTTTATTGAGACATTTAAGTGTAGAAACCCCTATAATTAGGCACCCTAGTGCCTTTTTTAAGGGAGACTAAAGCAGGCACCACACAAGGGTGAATCCTCAGGTATCTTAGGATAACTTAGCACAGTCATAAAGCCTGGAATTACTGTAGAGAAGGCCAGATCTATAGATGCCATGTTTGGAGAACATTCAAGGGCTCAGTTTGATATTCATACAGCTGAGAGAAATGCAACAAGAGTGCAATAAGGGCCAGGAAGTAGTTATTTGCAGAACTGTGACAAGATGAATTGGAAGCAAATCAATACACACATACAGAGTCCAGAAGCTGTGATGACCTACATTAGCAGTAGGTGTAAGCCATCTTAAATCATGGCCATCCAAACAACTCTCAGAACCCATGGTATGTCAAAGTGGATGACCATATGCATTTGTGTTATTTCCTTCTTGAATAGGAAATACCTAGGAACCGGAAGCAATTCAATTCCTCATTTTAACAAGGTATCTCAGAGCAAATCACCAAAGGTGAATAAAGGGCATTAGCCCTCATTAGTACATCAAGAAATTATGGTAGCAAAAGGTTATGTGATTTGTTCACCACTGCAAAAGAAGACAGCAGCAGGTCCAAAGAACAGTCAGCATCCTGGTCTCCAAACCATAACAGCAAGTGCAAAGTCCAAAGCATCTAGTGATTTCAGCAAAATGTATAATCAATACTACTCACAAATTACATTAATATAGGCATGCAGTTGTTCTTCCTATGGGTGCCTGTGCTGGAACATCTATCCAAAAAGAAAACATCAGAGAGAATGATGTATTCATTTAATGATTAGAGACTCTGCCCTTTAGCCTTCCTTCTGCAAAAATAACTCATCCATCAGCCCATATGATACAACAATGCTCTAAATGAAAGAGTATTAAGTCACCAGAAACACTGCACACACACTTGTACTGCATTTAAATAGCACTGAATTAAAATGAAAATGTCACATTTCTATTGGGCTGCATGTTAACCCACATCCTATTATTGTCCTGCAGGAACCACAACACACTCAGTGCTCCTGCTTACAACACGAAGGAGTCTTCTGAGACTGCTTTCCTGCACCAGCCTTTCTAAAAGGCAAAGTAACTGATCAGTTATGAGTTAGAGGCTTCTACCAACTTAAGTACTTATGTGAATTTGGCCTATTTTCAGCAAGGACTATAGGACATCTCTTTAGAAGGAAAATACTGGGCAAGCAGCAAAAAACAAAACTGTCAATGTTAAATCCACAACACTGAGCAGAAAAACACCAAATTAATTCCTAATGAGCCCTTCAGTGATGACACTTCACCGAACAGTGTGCCAGCAGGTCTGTGTCCTGAACTGAAATCTCTGTTGATTTCAGTTGCCTTTAGATGAGAACTGTAATTCCACAGGAACATTCTACCATGGAAAGAGACACAGCAGCTTCTGGCATGGGCTTCATCAACTCATTTGGTGGAGCTCACATTAAGCCAGTCCTTACTGGGTTATAATTAACTGCTGCAATTCAAACCACAACAGGGATTCTCCAGCAGTTTAGAAAATAGCCAGTCTCTCTCAAATTTGTCAAGGAAATACTAGGTTTTCTCCATGCCCACAACTGTTGCAGCAGCCTCCCAGCCCCTCAGTCTTGCAACTGTCTTTTTGCAAGATATCCAGCTGCAAGGCAGAGAAAACAGCTCATAAACTGAAAGTGGTTTTACAATTCCCAGAACTGACTGATGTGCAGGTAAATTACACAAGGAAAATTATTCTCTTGTATTACCAGCTCATCAAATCCTCTCCTTTGCTTCCCCATTAAAAAAAAATCTATTAAAAGAACTCCTCCTCAGAGCTGGCATTTTGCAAATCTCCATTCCTTGTTGCAAAGATCATCCAGGTGAGAACAAAGTAACTTTAAACAAAGTCTTATTCTGCGTCCATTGAAGGATTGAGGATTTTGCTTTCACAAAGGAAGATAATGAACTCATCAGAAATAAAAATCTCTGTTGGTGCAGAAGGACTGTAAGGAGAAACACTGTCAGATCAAAATGATCCGTAAATGTTTCAGAAGTATGCTCTTCAACGCTTCACTTACTGTAACATCTCTTTAACCCCTCATCTCTTTTTAATTTCTTACATTTAATCCCCACATATCATTTATTCCTGAAAAAAAGCCTCTCATTTTCAGGAGCTTTCTAATTTCTCTTATTCACTTCATAAAATCTCAAAATTAAGATGTCCTTAACAGAAAAGACTAAAATCTAAAAAAAAAAACCCCTGCATTACTCAAAAATATTCACTCAAAGATAACAAGCTAAACTACATGAGCTCAGTTTTCTGTTCTTGATACATTTCATTGCTTTGTGCTTTTTTTATTTCTCCTTTATTCTTTCCTATGAAAACATAAACATTTGTCTTCACTTACTTATAGGAAATTGTGGAAAAATTTCTCCAGTGATTCTCTCCTGCCTTTTTTCCCAAACACCTACTCTTCTGAATGGATGGTCTGTCCTTTTAAGAGAACTCTTGTGTCTAAACAAAAAAGGTCATAGTCTTATTAATATCTGTCTAAATGGAACACAACTGGGTCTTATAAAATCCTGATGACAGCTCAGATGTTTACAACATTGCACAAAATAGAGTAAAATGCTACTAGAACAACTCTGCAGACAAACAGTCTGATGTTAGGACCTGTTTTTGCACAGAGAATAAAAGACCAAGCAAACATCTTTGTCCTCATGATCATCTTACTACCAGAAGTACATCAGGACATTCATGTATGTATGACGTACATCTTAAGTGGCATTGCAATTCACCTGTCCAGGTTATTAAGCAAAGAACACTGATTAAGCCCTATCTCTATTGCATAAACAGCTGTTTCCCAAGAGGCTTTCATGAGCATATTCTGCATTTGTTTTGCATACAAGGTAGGAGCAGAACACAAAACAAATTGCAACTGGCTGAGAACAGGACAAATGGTAAGAACAAAGACAAGGGCATTTCTTTTTCTTAGACACTTAGAATTTAGCAGTGTGACTGAATGCAATCACAGGATGAGGACTTTCTACAGCTTCTTTCTTAATCACAGTATTATACGGTGCCAAAACAGAAGTAATCAGGTCTTCAGTACAACAGCAATTTATTTACTCTTTTCCAAACTCTGGAACATATTGCATATCAAACAAGGGGAATCAACACTCAGACTTTGACAGACCTAAATTTTACTAATATGCACAAATTTTGAGCTCAAGATAGCAGTTCACATACTAGAATTACCAGCAGTCATGACAGACTGCTTACTCTTCTGCTTATCTACCACATAGAAAGATTAACAGCAGTTGTCCATATTCTCTACTCTTGGATAATTTCATGTTGCCAAAATTCCCAAAGAGGACACTGCTGGGACCTATATCACCACACAATCCAAAACATAGGAAATCAACTGTTCACTCCCACAATATATTTTGTAACAAGCTCATAAACCCAAAAAGATCACAAAAGCAGACTGTAATCTTTCTTGGCTTTTCCCCCCCAAGTCCACTAAGATTCCCCAGAAGTTTATGAATGCTCACAATATTCCAAGTCCCTGTGCTGAATTAGCATAAACATCATACTCTGCAGCACTGAAATTACGAAACACAAGATTCTTGTCACAATTCTGCCAACGGAGATTACATGCAATAACTAGAATATTCTAGTTCTATGCACACTACAGGCAGGATGCCCAACCATTACTTACCAGGCTAAGTAATTTTGCATATGCAGATACACAGCCATGTTTATTCTGCCCAAATGAACCAAGTGAGACCTCTTAAAACATAATTTTCATGTGGAGTTTATATTAAATTATTCCCACTGGCAAAAATAAACAATCACTGGACATTACTCCTTGTAACTTTTTAAGCTTCACGTTTTTAAAAATGTACGCTCAAGAGGGAGAAGGCAGAACAGTCTTAAGCACTATGAACTCCTAAATTCCATGCAAAAGGCAGAAGTTAGAAACTGGAACAAGTTGATTTTTAACTAGCTTTCTTTACCATGACTCTCATAATATTTTTCTTCCCAGTAGTGAACTATACACTATTTTTGAGTCCAAGCAGCATCTCTTTCAGCACAAATACCCAAATAACCATTACTGACATACCTTTCCAGAATCAACCAGTTCTGCTATTTCATCCAAACTTGGGCCACTTGGCATGAAAAATGCCCACCGATAATGGACTCCTTTAAGGAGATGCTGCAAGAAAGATCACAAATCTATTAAAATACCATGAGAGCAAACTGAAATGGGAACTAAAATTAATGACAGAATCTCTGAAGAAGTAACTTAAGGAAAAGACATGGAAATTATATGCTAGTGTCTGAAAAAAATGGCACCAAAGCATGTGGATTAAATGTACAGACTAGGATGCTGTATTACCACAATAGGATCAGGTTGAATTTTGTGTCCAATTGTTCGAGTCAGCTGGTAGAGAAAAACAATTACCTTGTCTCTGAAGCTAGAAACAATTATTTGTTACATAAGAGAGAAATGGTGTTATATGTCCACATACACTCACAAATGGGTTGAAATAAACCCAAATTAAAATGTGATATTTACAACCTTCCACCTCAGTATCAGTGACTTCATTTTCCATTGTAATATCTGCCAAAGTCATCACTGTCCAACAACAGATGGCAGCTCACATGAAAAGCATTTTGGGAAGATCTCTCACACATAAGTCAAGAGCTTCTCCTCTAAGTAAGTCATTACAGGAAAAAAAAGCCATCATCTGACAAAGAGAGATGATTTTTATATACGGCATAGAATCCTCCTCATCATGGTAACATGCACACAGAGAAATACTATTACATTATTTCTTCCCCGCCTTTTCATTTTGTCTTTGGACTTTCTTGTGAAAGTACTACTGCAGGACTTAAAATCCCATTCAGCCAAGCCTTTGCAGGAATACCATAGCAACTGCTTGAAAAGCATTCATTTGGAGAGCAAGTACACAAGCATAGGGAAGAAAAAGTTCTAAAAAGCCCCACTGATCTGGCCACTGGCAAAATGTTTTAAGATCCACTTACAAAAACTAGAAAAATCAGTATCACCATCCAGACACACGAACATGAAAGAGATGAAAGACTTTCTAGCCACCCTCGACCACACTTACTACTCTCTGCTGCTGGAACAGGATGAAGAGAATCAGTCATGGAACAATGTTTTTAGAGAAAGCCTGACTGGCCTAAAGCAAGTAACAAAACTGCCCTCACTTCAGTGAGGCAGGGATTTGCTGTGTTTACTATGAAACCCCGGCTGTCAGCAGGACTCACTAGGGAGGCCATATGGAAAAGGCCACAATGGAAAGCACAATAACGAATCAAACTTCAAAGTCCCCCAAAGTACTACATACACTCAGCAGCACCACCCCAACTCATTTCTTTTCAGTGCAAGAAAGAAAGAATAGTATACTTAATGACATATGAGGACAATGCAACAGCTGCCCCTCCATGAGCTCTGTGACTGGCATCCAAGCCACAGAAGTAGTCACTAAAGTACTCCAAAATATGAAAGTACATAGGATTTTGTCAAATACCTTTAGAGTTTTGGAACCAACAGTGACTCCTGTTTGCAGCATGCCATCAGCCACTCCAAGTTTGTCCATATTGATCAGAAAAGGTGTCACTAAGGTAACATATGTTGCTCCTGACCATTTCTTCAAGAGATCTAGTGCCCACTTCTCAGTGGATCCACCAACATTATCTAGGATAAAATCAAACCTGCAGACATAGAAATAACAGGTTTAAAATCTTGATATGGGAAAAATAACTTCACCATAACTTAGCTAATTAATAGCAGAAATCAGCTACAGTTCACATTTCTACATGTCACTGCAATGCAAAAATAATCAGCCTGCAAGATAGCAGAAAGAAAGTCCCAAGACTTCACAAAGGTCCCAAACATTCAGCAAAGTTTAATGTACAATGGGATTTAAATTTACAGGTTATTGCCCATTCACTGTGCATCAGACACAGGCTATTTAAAATGTACACTTAAACTCCAAAAAGCAAACTGAGATGCACAACTACATTCTGTACTTGCTTAAAGCCTTCTAGAGCTCTATCTCCTCAGCCCTCCCACAGAGACTACTGGAACAGTCTTGAGGTCTAGCACTAAACAATATGGTATGTACACGTAAAAACTAGTCTGGACTCATGCCCTCAACTAGGAACAACTCTTGTACGTGCTGTACTCAACAAAAGTCAGTTCCAGTGGCTAAAATTACGTAAACAAATTATTCGACTAATGCTTATTTCCTCACATCTTTTCTGTGATCCAGTTCTCAGCTTTGCTTCTCCAAGTTTTTTTTGACCTCCTTATTTATTTAGGGGCCATTTTACCTCTCCTGACAGCTCTTTTCTTCACATCTACCTATTTAACATTGAACCTAACAATGCAAAGGATCTAAAACCTTCCCATCATGGAATGGATATATGCAGCCTCTGGCAAAAAGCCACAGTTTCAGTGTTCCTTCTCATTATCCCAGCATGTGAGCCTGTAAAGGCTGAACAGGGCAACAGGGAGCTATGCACCTGTTCTGTTAAATGCACAACTCATTCTCATTTTCATCTGTAAATTTCCAGCAGTCTTCAGATTGTAACATATATCTCTAATCTAAATAATTTACAAATACGAGGGAAAATGCTTATGCAAATTAAATAGAAAAGTCCTTATCTCTCTGGAATGACAGTTTTCCTGCCTGTCTTCCAAGGGTGTGATTTTATATTTACAGTTCAGTTAATTTAACAGCTAGCTGCCAACAAGAAAAGATCTTAAAAACTAATGTTCCTGGAAGGAGTAGCTGACTGGATTCTGAAGAGTCAGTACAACTGTAAAGGGGAGGGAAGTAGGAACATCCCAGTCAGTAGAGCTGACTGATCAGTCTAGTTGCATCATTAAACTGCACCCTAGAACACTTGTTGATTTCTCTTAGAAAGGGTCACTTTGCTAGAATGGGTGTTTAGCATTTAAAGTGTTGCACAAAGGCAAATTTTGCACCAACTGCAAAGTCCATCCTGCTGTACAGACAGTGTCACTGCCCTCGCAACTGCCCTCGGGTCTGCTGACAATCACACTACAGCTAAAGGACACATGGCTTCTTAGCACAGTTACCAGTAAAATTCTCCCACAGATCAAGCAGCTTCTATTTCCCCTTCCAGAAACTTACCTCAGTCTAGCTAAAAAGAGCTGTGTAAATACCATCTTCAAATACAAGTAGATTACATTTAAACAGACGGAAAGATTAAGAAAGAAAAAATACTTCTGTTCTAGAGAAAAATCCCAGGCTAGTTTAAACATAGCTGCTGTGACAAGATAAATGTGATTGTTTTTCAGAAGCAGCTGTATCCAATGTTACAGAACAGAGATTTACTCCCAGTTGAGTTGCACAGTGGCAAGTCACTGCTTCTTCATGATACAGTTCTTTCCTCTACAAGATGAATTTTGTATTTACCAACTTCACTCAGGATTTCAGAGGCTTATTTCAATTTATTCATGCATTGTATATTCTCCAAGGTACTTGGATGGAAGCTACAAAACTGTTCATATCACAGTCATTAAAGAGAAGCAGTCTCCCAATTAACTGGCTTAGTTTTACAATGTAATCTTTGCTGGGTATACTCATTTGCTAACTGCATCCAAAAAGGTGAATCTGCTTTACAACATAAGGCTTTAGAAAAATTTAGGGAACTCTGATAGAGTCAGGCAATCAAAAGGCAGAAGGTCTGACCGCCAACTCCTTCATCTCAGCATTAAGCAATACAAACACTCACAAGGGTAATGTTTTAAGATGCTCTTCCAGATTTCCAGATCTATAATCAACCACATCATCTGCTCCAAGCTTTTTCACCAGTGTGCTGGCATCATGAGAGCAAACTGCTGTCACGTGAGCATCCCAGGCCTTCATTAGCTAAAAACAAATATAAAAAAAAGAAGCCCAAAGATTAAAATTTAGTGAAATAAAGAACAACTTAAAAAGCCAAAATCTCATTATATTTATATAATGAATGAGCGCCATTAATAGGGAGTGGAGAGACTGTTCTAATACAGGCTAATTTGTCACAATTCCCACAGACAAAATAATGGCTAGAATTTGTCAATATTTAAGGTGGTTGTGGGAGAGGAGGAGTTGGTGTGAAAGAAAGATTTTGGGGTTTTTTAATGCCACTGAAAGATACCAGGTCTCATGACAAATAAGGCTCTCAGTTTGCTCTGAATCTACCAGCTAAGCACACCAAGAGGTACTGTCCAAGCTGTCAGTCTACCATGTTGGCACCACATGTACCATTAAATATTATTAAATATGCCCTTTAAGTATTTCATATTACTGCAAATAGGTTAGGTACTAGTAACAAGAAAAAGAAGGAAGTCATCTCTGATTTACCACAGGGACAGTATCGTGTTATCTTCTATTCCAAAAGCTATAGCAAAGCAAAGGATTTTTGCTAGTTATCTCTTTTTGCATCTCATTTTTTCATTCACATATTCTACCTTGATTCCAGATAAATTAACATAGTTTATCCAGGCTTGATCAGTTAAAAATTGTAACTAGTCAATGGCTGGTCAGCCTTTCATACTTAGAGTCACCTGTTTTATCATGGATCAGGCAAATAGTGTACCACAAAAAATTCTGCTGTAAAACTCTTTATAAAAACTGCTGTGCTTATGGCCTAGTAACATGGAAAGCAGTGATGCAATCACCAAACTTCTTTATTTTTTTATAATCTTAAGAGGAAGATGTTTCAGCATGAGATGACACTAATTAGAGTCAAAACCACCAAATTAACTGAGCGCATGAAAGAGGACGTTCCATAACTAATGAATCAACAAAAGAGCACGCTGACGTTCCAAAGTTTAGAGCTATTGGAACAGACAGACAAAAGGGCAGCAGGGCAAAGACAGTGAGGGAAAGTAAATCTAAGCCTCTGTGCTTTACAATCACTGCAGTCAAAAGCCTGATGGCCTCTCACATCATTTGACCAACTACAGTAGTTGTGGTAGGTAATGTTCTCCATCAGTTTTCCCACTCATACACCAAGTTCTGTACATATTTTAAAGTGCACGTCTGAATGAAAGATAATGAGAACAGGACACATATTTCAAATTACACCAATCAGAGATTTTCTGCACCCAAATTGTGAAATGTGATCTTACACACAACTACTTTCCTTGAAAGTCCCTGCTTCCTACTTTAAAATAATACAACATAATAAATGGAAAGCAGTAAATCTGAAAATACTTTCCTTTTGGAAATATCAATTTTCTCTATCAGACAGACTGATCAGTAGCTTACTATTTCTCTATTCCTTCTCTCAATTCCCTTCTGTTATTTTTTTTTTTTATACTGAAATGCTTGAAGATTCATCCTGGGCATGCTGGATAGTATTACCTGTACAGCAAATGTACCAACTCCTCCTGAAGCTCCTAATATTAATATTCTGAAAAAGAAAATTAAAATATATTTAATAGTTCTTTAAATAAATTCTGGAGTAACTATGTATTCTAATGTTTCTTATACATCTCTGACACTGATTTATTTTTAGCAAAAGATTGGTTTTGTCATTCAATGTTATTCAAGAGTGGTTAACTGTTCAAAGAGCAAAAAATGTGACTTAACATTATTGATCACATGTTCTGTGCCAAAAGCATTACCTCAGCACAGCCAAAGAGACTTCCTCATATGTGCTTTCAACTAAATGTAGGCAGTGGAGCTGTCACTGGAGCTGTAGCATTTATATCACCCAAAAACCCTGTACCTGTCCTCACTTTCCCAAACATAATTGTTTAATTTGGGACAGAATAAATTAAGAGTCCTTTCTGTCTCCCAGAGTCCACTGTCATATCTCCTAAAGAAAAAAATCCAATTCACCAACATTTTACACAAATCAATCTTATCTAAGAGAAAAAGTAGTTTAGGACATTATTTAAGGAGACTGTGAACTGCAGAACATATGGAACATAATTTTCCTATATTGCATAATGTTTATCTAAAAGACAATAATACAATGAAGTACCCTCATCATTAACACGTTTAATTTCTATTAAATGAAGATAGGTGCATTTTCCTTTGGAAAAAAAGCAGTAGAATTTTTCTAGTTCCTTCTAGTACCTCTCAACAAGACCCTGTAAATTCCAGCTTGTGGAAACTGGCTCATAAGCAAGAAAATTAAAGAGCATATTGTCAAATTATTAGCAATTGAGAGTTCATTTTAACTAACAGCCCTAAATTTATTTAAAAAAATAATACAAGTTTACTTGTGTGAGAATCTTACTGCTAGAAGCCTAATCACTGTTCAAAAATTTTATCCAAACATTTCATTAAATAACTAATCATCAGAAAGTGAATTAGTATGAAAACCTTGCAGCTCAAGTTGCAAACAATGCTTTGACTTTGGATCCATTTGCTAGGACAAAAAGAAGATCCAAGATGAAGTCCTGGCATAGGATTGAGGAACATCATGTTTCTCAGAGCTTCTGTTTGCCAGAAAAATCTCAGAATCTTCAGAAGCTGATGAAACTCCTGTTTTAAATCTCACAGTAAAAGATGTTGAAGGAAATTGCTTTTTACAGTACAAAACTGTACTATACAATCTGGAGTCTCAGTTTACAAAAGTTCTTTGAAGTAGCTTAAGAGACTTGGCTTTGGTCACACTATCCATTTTAAAATGCTCCTTTTGTAAGTGATCAGATTCTGTTCCCTCCCATTTCACTGATCCAAGCTGCAAAATTCAGATTAAGAATATGAAACCACAATACCACAAAGCCTGCAGCTTTTAAATCTGCCAAAATGTACTTATCCTCAGAACCAGGCTTCTAACGACAGATGCCTGAAGCAACATGCATATTTTGACTTTAGTATACTTGAAAAGGCTCCAGGATACTGCACTCAAGATATTGGGTTAAACCATCTTTATCCTTTAAAAGGACAGTTAAAATTAAATCCTTTCAAAAGAACCTTTTCAAACTGCCTTTACAATTTCACTCCTAGATAAAGGGCATTTCTTCTACTACATATTTGGTGGAAAGCTGTCATCTGAAAATGTACAATTTGCTCAAAGGATTTAGGTAACATTTTCCGTTTGGAGACCTGCTTGGCTAGGACTATTTTTTATTTTCCCCTTGAATAAAAGCCCTCAAGATTCCTCCAGGTAGAAATACTTTCAGATTCAGTTTGTTCCTATATTACATGGGCTACTTTCTACCACACCTTCCAATTATTAAAACTGTCTCCACACATTGTGACTTCAATAAAGCTCTTCATTTCTGAGACAAACTACATCTGCAGAGGAGATCTATGCGCACCAGCTCAACAGATCAGCATTTTTACAGCACTGACAACAGCAAGACACACAGGTAAGAGGGGGAGTGTTTGAAGGTGCAGGACCTGTTAGGACAGTACTGAATGACAGATGGTGGCAAGTGCCAAAGCAGGAACAGTTTTGCTTGCACTGCCTCAGGAAAACACAGCCAGGAAAAAACACATCATAGAAACTACCTGTTTTCACTGTAAGGGTGAGCTCAGGAGTAAACTAATATACAAGTATTTGCACCAGGAAACAAACTAACAAATCTTCTGACCTGGACAGAGATCCAAGAGAACCAATTCTTTCAAAAGAACAGAAACAACACTTGTTCCCCAGGTTTTCCTCCTTTCTGACAGAGGCACAACATCCACACCAAGATCCCCATGGGGCTCCAGCAGTTCAAATGATCATAGGGAGCAGATCTCTCCAGATAAGCACACGCATGAGATTTGAACCCATCTTAAACCATGAGTTTAGCCCATCTCCCTGGGCCCTGCTTGGAACTATGGTGTGGTCAGAAATGAGAATGAAAGAAGCAGGACCTGTTTCAGCTGTGTGTGTCCCCCAATAGAACATACAAAGAGTGGGGAGTGGATGTACAGATCAAGGGCTAATATTTTCTCCAGATTATAAACAATTAAAAATTTTCAGTGACTGAGTTACATACAAGATAAAAACTGAACAAATACATCAATTTTATATAGTTACAAAATTTATGTATTTATTGACTAAATATATCAACTCTATTTATATACAAAATTATATCTTATTTTATTATGCCAACAAAACGCCCCTGAGAAATTTATTCCTGGATCAAGAAATGTTTACCCTTTCAAGAAATTTTACAACCTACACTGACTTTATACTTCTCAACAGATAAAATGATGAAATAACACACAGACATTGAAAAAAATATTTTCTTTGGGTATTATATCATTCAAATTTTCAATGTAACCATATAAACCAGGAGTGTACATTTGGTAACTTACATTAACAGAATGCAACATTTCTGCCCAGCATACATGAAAGTCTAAGGTATTGCCTCTGTATTCACATAAAGACTTTTACTTAATAGCAATGTAACCACTTTGGATAACTTCTCACACTGTCAGATTTGTTTTGTCATGCCTTTTGTGAATACAGAAAGCAAGATATCTAACAGCTAGTGTTGAACAAGCAATCCCCCTTCTACTGAAACAGATCAGGAACACATATGAGAAGCTCCAGGTATCCACAGAGAACTTCAACACAACAGAGTCATCCTGAACATTTAGGATAGTAAGAACATTTAAGCTTCTACAAGAATATTGACATTAATTAGAGTGGTACAGAATGAAAAAACAACTGGAATTGCAGGAGGGTTCACAAACGATGAGAGCACACTTCAGGAAACTTGTAAAAACAACCTGTGAAAGTATGTGCAGATGGAGCAGATAATCTGTCAGATCAATGCCAGACACTGGACTAACAGCAAGTATTTCTGGTTAGCCCACGCTACCACCTTAAAAGAGGCAAAGAGAACAATACACACCAATAGAAAAATCTTGCTGCTTTTAAGATGTCTAAACATTGCACTAAAGCACCAGTGAAGTAGTTTTCATCAAGGAATACAGCTCCTCTGCCAAAATAAGACATTTTTGTGTGCACATACACCCTTCTACATAGCTGTTTACATACAGCTACAGGAGACAAAAAGACTGACATAAAATCACATATGTAGGTAAATTCTCACCAAATACATGACCTAAAGAAATTAGGAAACACTGTATAAATTCTTGTACTTTTAAATTATTGCCCTGAGAGTTCATGGAATGTAATGCACAGCTCCTTCAATGCATTTTAAACACTTTCCTACAAGTAATATTTCAGGGGAAAAAAGGTACCGTCACATAAGTCATTCACTGCTGGTTTTACAGTTCAAAATTTATAGACAGGAAATAGAATATTTTTAAGTACATTAAAATGGGTTTTTTGCTTATAGAGTAATTAAAAATTTATTATTATTTATTTATTTGGAACGTGAAAGTAAATATTAAATGTAAAGACACATTACAAATGCAGTTTGAATTTTACTGTTAACAGCAAAATCTAAACACTTACCTGAAGATTGGAAAGACAATTTAATAAGGCTAGCCTATCAGTGTATCATCAGGTTAATTCTATTTACTTGTAAAAGTTAAGATAATAAAAAGTATAAATACTGAAAAATAAAAAGTAATGTGATCTTATTTAGAATTTCATTACTAGCTGGAAGTTAATTTCAATAACGTCTCTTTGAAACTCCTTTAAATTTTGCAATTTCATTTTCTCAAAACATTGTTTAGAAAAAACAATTACTCAATATTCTCATGGTGAAGTTCCCTGTGACACACGAATGACCACTCACTCGACTGTCTTCCAGAGATGTAGGTGAAGAATTTCAACAGATCTAGTGTCCTTTGCAATGTGTTGCGTTACAAAGTATCAGCAAGATAAGACGAGGTCAGGCATCCAGACTCCTGCTACCCAGTAATTACTTTATGACCTAAACCTGTGATGCAGCACAGTAATTTTAACTACTGTTTTTCAACTCCCATAGTTTTACTTTTGCCCTTATTTCCATTCTGAAGATCTTGCTATCTATTTACTCAAACATCTAAAGGTCAAAATAACTGAAAATTTCAATTATCAGGAGAAAAATGGTATTTGCTCCAATCTTTCACTGCATTTTTCCTCATCTGCCATTGTCAGATTAACAGACTGATAAACAAAGTCAATTTTTCTATTTCATTGGCTGCTCATCTTGCATGTTCTCCTTTTCTTGTCTGCATTCCTGACCCCATCAAAGCTCTGGCCTGCAGGTCAAACAAGAGTCAGTCACCTGTTCATTTTTCTCTAAAAAGCTGGAAAACCAGTATGTTCCAAATGGCCCACACATGCAGGAAGTGAGTGAACCACATCTCTGTCCTTGAGAGGGCTTTTTGTGAGTTGTCAGTATAACTGAAAGGATATTACATTTGACTAGCTGTCTTAACAGACAAAAAAAGGCAAAGTCCCTATAAATTCCTGGAGATAACATCCTCAAGTTCTCTATATAGCCCATACATTATATATACACTGGATTATGATCGCATCATAGAACGGCCTGGGTTGGATGGGACCTCAAAGATCATCCAGTTGTACATGTCCTGCTGTGGAGAGGAACACCACTCACTGGAGCAGGTTGCCCAGAGCTCTACCCAACCTGGCCTTAAATATTTCCACTTGTGGATGTATGGGCATCCGCAACTTTTCTGGGTATTTTTTACATCTATATAGGGACCTCATCTGAGCCTTCCTCTAAAGAAGCCTCTTTCAAGCAGCTTGTGTGGACAGAATCCATCATCCTCAGACAGCTGATCTTTATGGATGTCATGGTACAGCAGTCTTTATCACTGCTGGACGTGTCTTAGAAGCAGCTCATCAATATAAAAATGAAGAACTTTGGTTTTAGCACCAGAACTGTTTACTTACCTTTTCCCACTACAATTACTTTGGTTCAGTCCTCCCACTTGGTTAAGTGCAGACCACGCAGTGAGACCAACATATGGTAAGGCAGCAGCTTCTGTGTGACTGAGAGATTTTGGCTTAAAAGATACCTGAAATAAAATCATATCTAAGTCACACAGGAGCTCCTATGTGGCACGGAAATATTTAAGAAAGCTTTACTGAATTGCAGATTGTGTATTGCACATTTTTAGCCATCATCAAAACTAGCTGGAGTACAAATCAATCCAAGCACTAAGAAATCAAATCACTTAAATACTGAAGAAAAATACCAGCCTTTACAACTTTGAGATTTTGTTAGCCACAGTTTTGACAGTTTACCTCGTTTCCACTAGCTACCACGAACTCTGACAGAGTGCCTTGTTTCCACGGGGGAATTGCTGCCCACACCTAAAACCAAACAGAAAATAACTATCAATTTTTGTAACTTTGTACACAATTGTACGTACACAGAAGTTTCCTTCATTACAGAAAACTTTCTTCTAATTCATAGAATGTCTTCACTGTTTATCAGAAACCAGTTTTAGCTTATTTTACATCCAAAAAAAATCACAAAACTGACTAAATGAAGGATTGGAGAGCTATGTAAATAAACTGTACCACTGCATTGTGTTTAAGATATAATTTTTCAACCCCTCCCCCCCAAACTACTCCCATGCCAGGAAAGCCCAGATTAGAGGGGTGAGCATGGTGCAGAATCAGGATTTGCTATGCTAAAACTGGTGAAATGTGAAAGCAACTGGTGAAGGTGAAAGCAAACAGTATCAGTATTTGTGTAGGCACCCATGAAGTGCTTCTTGGGATAAGCCAAAGTTCCTACTCCAAGCTAGTTAAGAAAAACAAAAACAAATCCCTTCTTGTTAGAATTGAACTGAAAACAAAGCGGCACTTTGAGTGTGCAAAAACAAAGAAACAAAAACCAAATAAACAAAATTCCACTCTTGCTACTGCTGAAATGGATCAAAAATTAAAACACAAAAGGGAAACTAACTTGCAGAAGCAAGTATCTGAAAGACTATGCTTTTCAGAGAAAAAATGAAGGGAAGAAAGTATTCTAGGAATTTACGGCCAGATAGGCCTTATTAAGAGTGCAACAGCATTAAAAAAATAATTAAGAGCAGAATGAATGTTGAACATCTCATAGCATATTTTAACTATACATTCTGGAAAAAAAACATAAGAGACTGGTGGAATCACCTCATCTCCAGGTTTGAAATAGGACACACCCAGTCCACATTCCATAACAACACCAGAGACATCTCGACCAAGTGTTAGAGGAAATTCAGCCTCGCCAGTTTTGAGTTTCAGGGGATCCCGCTTCATATTTAACGCGGTTGCACCATAACCACCTGTAAAACATGGAATCAACCACAACATACCATACTGAGTGTTCATTTATAATTGTGCAATTCCAATTAGAAAGCATCATCTGTACATAACATGCTTCATTTCTGTTATAACTGAAGCATGCAAAAAAACTGCAATATCTCATATTTCTACAGATTTTAGAAATCAAGAGCAGGTGTGAAAAATAAAAAGGCATATCTCCTCTAAGACGAACAACCTGGACTTCTATTCAGTAAGCAACAGACAAATGCTGTGAAGTCTCAGAACTACCCATCTAATAACAGTGTGCAGCCTAAAAATAGCCTGCTTTTGGGCATATATGTCCATTCAAGTGTTTGGACAAGTTTGCCTAGGGGCCCTATCATGCTAGAAAGTGTCTTAACACGAATCTTCAGATAGAATGTCCCATCACCAAACCTCCAAATATAGTCAAAGATTTTTTAAAATTCATGTAGAGAGTCAAACACAGATTACAGCTCTGTCAGCAAGCTTCCTGCAGATATATTTGCTTATTCTGCTAAAACTGATTCGATAGGCAACCACTTCTACATAGGAAATAAAAGGTATTCTACCACCACAACTTCCTTCTCGTGTTTCAAACCCAGAAAATGGGGACGTATATCTGATTAAACGTATCAAATAAGAAGAGCCGGGCAATGAAAGAGCCAGATTTCCTGGGCGGGATGACAGCACGTCCCCAGATGCCAATTCAGGATGGCAATGAACAACACAAAGCTTTGCCTTAGGTCGCACATGCCGACTTGGCAGCAACGCAGACCTCCAGCGTTACTCACCTCAAGATGGGAAAATCCAGCATCACTTAGGGGCAATGCTGTTCCTTGGCCGGGCGTCTCTCGGTCAAAAGAATAGCACCACAATCACTCAATTAAAAGTTCACCCTCCCAACACACACACACTCTTGTCAGCGGCATTTTATATCGTCCTCCCCTAAGAACTTGAAAAAAACCTTTTCGTATTGTTCTTCCCTGAGAACCTGAAAGAAGATACGTTTCCAAGAGGCGGCGGTTTTCCACAGGGCTCGGGGAAACACGTGTGTTGAGGCAGGCCTGGACACTGCCGAGACAGCTGTGTGCCGGGCCAGGACGGCGCCCTGGCACCGCTCGGGCCGCCTCGGCCGCAGCCCC